ATCCGGATAGCTGCACATCCTAGATTACTTTGCGTTAGCTGCTTGTAGGCAGCAGTAAGATCTTAATATGGATGCAACTCCAAAAACCACATCAAACTTCTGGTCGTATGTGATTGGTTTCAACCATCTGAGTACCCTAGGCTAGGTGGTTACGTAACACACTAAGGCTATGCCTTCTGCTTCAAGTACCCCATATGAAAAGAAGAACAAGTCGGTCTTCACTGTGAAATATGAAAATAAATGTTTAATTTCAGAAAATGAAATCTCGGTACGAATTCATAGCTATCCATACTATTTAACTTGTCCATGAATCCATTTTCATCGAATAAAGAACCTATCGACTAAGAAATACTCTAAAAATTGGGAATGGATGCACTGGATATGCGCATTGAAGAGACCGCTGAGTCATATCATGTACCAGGCTAGCCACTGAGTAAGACATGAATTGGAAGCGGTGAGCTGGTTGTGCAAATGTGAGAAGTTGAAATGGAGAAGACCATATGAGGAGGAGGAGACAGTGAAAACCTGTGGATAGTTCTGGAGACAGTTGGGAAAGTAAAGACCTTCCCAGTTTGGGACGCTTCAGCTGAGACCACCTATGATGGCACCAGGGATCGGGGCTAGGTGTTTCAGTTTACGAGTTTTTTAGGACGCTAGCCTTCAAGTCATTACTGATCGATGTACTGAGAAGATAACACGTGTTTGGAGAGCTTTTGTTTGGTTTATTTTTGGCTTGGATTCCCAAGGATTTTCACGTCATATATATCCACTGTATTTTAAATAGCAGAGTGTTGTCACTGTTGTCGCTGTTAAATCGGACTTTCTGTGTCTATTTCAGTATGGGGGATATTTCCAATTGTTCAGCTGGTTGTAGTGTTATTCTAGAGAAGCATTCTGGTCAAGCTTAGAAGAAAACCACAAATCAGCAACCCACTTCATAACAAACGCCACTGACCTAGATATCACTGACTCGTGAATCTTTCAGTTCACAGCATATAGTGGAACCACCAGCCAACATCATCGAAGAGAGCACCCATCTCACGCTTGACAATGTGAAGCTCAAAGGGCCATAATGTCTTGTTAGAAGTTCAGGACTTCTATCCTGAAGACGCTGATGCATCTTAGATTGATATTCAGACTTTAGGTTTGGTCAAAGACATCGAAATCCTCAGAGAATCCAAAGATCTCAAAAGTAAGTAAATATACAGGATAAAACTGAATTATCAAACAGTCGCTAGGAATGACATTTACTCAGCCTTTTTCGTCTTACAGATTTTGATTACCGCTAATAATCATAACAGTAATAATCAGAACTGGAATGTATGTGATCCTATAGTAATTTGCTTACTGGATATATTATCAAGTGCGGATTTGTAGGAATTTAGTCGATGCCAGAAATGATCACTAGTTGACATCAGGTAGAGAACCATTGAAAGCCAGTCACAGGGAGTACTTCCGGATAGCTATTCGGGACTGACTCTTCAGCAGTACGCATCCACCGACGGGGTTCGAACCCAGGACACCACCTAGTTACAAGGCAGTCTCGTGGACCATTCGCCTACTGAGACCCGGTCCAATGGCTGACGCATGAATTGTAACTTCCATTAATCCGAAACTTTAGCATGATTGGCACTAGTCACTGTCACCAGTGGCGAGTATTTTTCCTCACTGCCGACGTGGTAGTCCCTACTTTTCAAACCTTCTCACCAGCCAGTATCGAACATCAAAATTATTTTCACTATTTACTTAGTAGAATTTTCCAGGTATCTGGGTGGACAGACGTGTCAACCCAATTCTGTTGTTCATACATGCTTTCTTTCCTAACTGGTGAGACAAATATAAATTCAACAGTTAGTTAAAATTCGTGACCAATGGTTGGTAGTGAGGACAAATATAAAACTCACGAATTCATAAAAGTTAGGATTCATTAGATGGCCACTGAACAGGGTCCTAGTGGCTGAATGGTCGCCATCGAGCTTGAAATGTAATCGGAAGGTCCTGGATGCTTCGAATCCGGGTGAGGAGTTCGTATTGCCAATGAGTCAGTACAAGACTAGTCTGACGAAGTAGCTGTGTCTCAGTACTCCCTGGTGCTTGCTTCTAATTATTGTCTTCCTGACATCAATCTATGGTCAAAAATGAAAGATTTGTTTGCTTGGAAATCAACAAGATTGAGACGATGATCAACAACAAAGATTTGAAGAGAAATGGGTACCCACAACATAATGTATATTCGATGTACTTCATATCAGAATTTCACTCCACTCTGAATGTGATCAAGCTACTGAATGTCGGTAGGGAAGGCAGAAGGACCAGATAGCATTCCCCTTGAACCACTGAAAAAAGATCCAGAGACTGCGAAAGATGGACTCACACCAATATTACAAACAGTTTCGAAAGAAAAAAATACGTACTACTGATCGGAAGAAAGGCTGGCTACCTAGTCAAATTGCCAAAGAAGGGCGACTTACGCCTCATACTGCAAGAACTGTCATGGAATCATGCTATTTTCAACGAAAGGTAAATTACTAAGTCACATCATCCTGGAGAGAATAAAGGATGCACTGGATACAGAACTCCGCCACCTACCGGAACAGGCTAGGTTCAGGAAAGGCAAATCATGCGCTGATCAAATTGCAACTCTACGCATTGTCATAACAGAACGAAGCGTAGAATGGCGGTCAAACCTTTCTCTACCCCATCAAATTCATCGACTTCGAAAAGGCCTTCGACAGACAGCGTTGACCGAGACGTAATTTGGAAATTACTTCAACACTACGGCGTGCAGTGCTGCAAATATTTATTAACATTATTCGGCAGCTGGCTATATAACAATGCCATGTGTCACGTGTTCCAAAATGGAAAGCTCAGCGACGCGTTCGGAGTGAATACAAGAGTAAGAGGAGGTAGCCTGCCTATTATCACCGATGATATTCTTAATTGTAGTGTACTGGATTGTGCCTCAAACTGTGAGTGAGAAGCGAGGAGACAGGAATACGCTGGACCACCGATGAGAAGACTCTAGAATATCTGGATTTCGCAGATGATACATGTCTAACGTCACACAAACTCGAAGACTTACAGGTAGGTGAAAACCAACAAACTGGCAGAAGAGGCTGGCTGGAAGCGAAGACAGGACTGCAGGTTAACATAGAGATGGTGGCGATGGGGATGATGAAGATAACCAACCAACAGTGGCAACAACAAAAACCCGCGACAATCACTCTCAACGGGAGAGACTTAACAGAGGTTACCTCCTTCACTTATCCAGCCAGGAAGCATCATTTCAACCACAGGCATGCCGAACGGATGGAGATGTCAAAGCCAGCCAGCCAGAATCAGAAAAGCGATGTACGCACGCTTTCATCAACCTGAGACCAGTTTGGAAATCTTCTGATTTCACTCAGCCAGCAGAAAGAACAAGATTCGGATTTCTGACACCAATGTGAAGTCGGTTAGTCCTTCCATACGGGACAGAAGCTTGGCCAGCGTGTCACGAAAAGGATTTCCAACAGGTTGTAGACTTCCATCAACATCTGCCTTCGCTTGCTCCACATTGAAGATCGAATGGCCAGAAAGAATTAGCCACAAGAAACTGTGGGAACAAACCAACCAACAGTCAATGGCTCGACAAATATGTAGGAGAAAGTGCAGATGAATCGGGCACACACTAAGGAAGCCGTCAAACGTCATCGTGGCAAAAAATAGAAGAAAGTGGAAATGTGTTGTTGAAGCTCGGAACCCAAAGGAATAATAATCATATAATGCAGAATGAAGGTGGGAAAGGAGAACGGATTGGAAAAAGTCCAATCTCCATGATGCACACCAGCTTCCTTAGGTCAATGAAGTGGAGCGATCCTTATCGAGAAAAACAGTATGATGTTTCCTACCTCAAAAAATACGAAGACAATTATTACCACTTTGTGACCTAGGACTCAGTGAGTGCTGAAGTAGGCCTATTCTGCACAAAACTATCCGAGTAACAGAATCAAAGCCTCGTAGTGTAATCTAAACAGGGATAATTAACACACTGCCCACATACCATTTCGTTGGAATGTTCACATTAGATCACAGGGAAAAAGATGGAGAAAACGGTTTCAGCGAAGGAAATTTTCTCTTCGACGATGTTATCAACTAGGTAGTTGTGCATTCTGTATAGTAGATGTCTGAGAAAGTTCCTGAACTCTATTTCCAGTCAAGGGTCGAATTAATAAAATTGCAAATACTGATTAAAATTACAGTAATAACAAAATAGGCGGCAAGGTCGGATAAAAAAAACATAACAGTGCTAACAGGAATTAAAAAACGTAAAAATAAGAGAAATAAACAGGAAGATTCGATATAGTAGGTTATAGGATGATAAGCAGTTATATTTCTTTTCAATACACCTAACATGGGCTTGAGATTTTGGAACTTCAGCGCTTCAGCTATGATATGAGACGCCTTGACCTTACTCCCTTTTAGACAGAGATTTGACTAGATTAGAAACAATGTCATCGGAGGTGCAGTACACCTAAAGTGCTCCTACTTTATTTATAAGCAAATTGCGTTAAAATCTTAGTGAGAGGTGTTTTTTTTATGAGGGTTAAGAATAAGCAAGCGAAGTTTTATTCCATAGTTTTTTTTCAAAACTGGAGACGCGCTAGCGATTGGCTCATACCGTATGCGTCATATAGCCAGTGATGAAGTGCCACGTATATTATATATATATATATATATATATATATATATATATCACCCACAAATCAGATGTACGACTGATCACATGACCAAGATTTTTCAATCAAACCAATCACTTGATACATGGACAGAGGGACAGGTATTGTTGATTCACTCTCCTATGATTGGTTATTTTCATAGTCACATTCATCATCATCATAGTCATGGATATTTAACTGGTTGATTTATTAATCATAACAATCTACTTAATAAGGAAATCACTTAGTGTATTCGTTAGGTTTTTAGCATAGCAACAAAATAATTTCTAAACTGAAAACACAATGAATGACTCATACTATAACTACCACCAGCAGGATAATTATTATTCTACGCATAAAGTTTGCATCTGTCCAAAGCATATTCAGGATATATTAAATGAATATTTTTTGATATATGAAGGGAAAATTAAAAACTTAATCAATCAAATCTCAAATCATCATCATGATCATCAGGAAGAAATTTATCCAATCGATATTGATTTGCATGAAAGGTAAGTTATAAGTAAATTTTTGTTAGTATTTCTGTTTCTTTGGATTCTGAGTGGAACCATTTGGTTTTTTTGCGATGCACTCAGTACTCTCTATTATCAACATCCAACTTTTATTTGGCTTCCTTTTATTTAACGTGACCGCCGTCATGTCACATTTTTGCAATCATTCCACTAACTGTGAACGCACCGATAACCGTGAACGCATACTGTTCGTTGGATAATAGGACCTACCATTAATATAGTGCTATTTGGGTACTGTGAGCGAATCGGGGTGCAAATTTCATCCCGATCAAGTTTTTAAGTACTGTCTGGATAGTGTATTGATAGTTCATTAGGGTGAGGTTTAGGAGTGTTACTGGTTTCATTGATTTTGTCTAAATTGACTACAATGCGCCTCCAGACAACTAATCACTCAGAAATATTCCTTCACATTGTGGTAGACACAGAAGTCAGGTTTAACTGAGACAAAAGCGACACCAACATTAACTTTATTATTCAAAATCAGAACAAGATTACCCTTTACGCGTCAGAAGAAATTCTAAACCGTAAATGATCAATATCTAATTGATTGTATCAATCATGTTTTTATGACTTACTATGCAAGTTAGTCCATCCCAAGTATAAGGGTTAGGATTAGGATCACGGTTAAGTTTAGGATTAAAGTTATGGTGTTTTATTTTCATCATCTGCATTTTTCCAGTAATTGGTTGTCGATCTGCTCATACTTATTCAATAGAGTGCTTTTGTGGAAGACTGGAACAGTAGGGAAAAATGGGTCACAAAAAGAAATTCTCTACAGCCACTGCCATGAATACATGTACCAAAACTGGTTTGACCTAATGACTGATGCTCCTCATTACTAGTTGGGATATATTTTCATAAAGTTACCTCAGAGAATAACATTTTGTCTGATAACTTTTCTCAACTTTCTCAGTAGTCTGTTGGAGGTGTTTTAAGTGTTATCTCTGAAATGACTGACTTGATGTTAGTGTCGAAAATCCCAGTCTTTATGTTGAGCGCAGAAGGTTCCGAAACTGATTTCAGATCAATAAATGTCTGCCATGCCTTTCTGATTACGGCTAGCTTTAACATAGTCACCCGGGCCACCACCTGTAGTTGAAACGATACTACCTAGGTCAGGTAAATGAAAGAGGTGACGACCTCCATCCGGTTAATCCCACTGATAGTGAGTGGTGCTTCTTGTTGTTATGGTTAGACATTTGGTGACTGTATCTCCTTTGTCTTCCCTACTGTTCTCACGAAGCCTTTTCAAAGCTGACCGCTTATTCTTCCAAATAGTTGGCAGTTTCCGCCCGGGCGTTTTTGTAACATTTGACATTAAAAAAACACAAGTGTGATTCAGTGAAGGATATGTCAATTAGTCTATAATCATAATCAATAAAATATTGCATGTTATCTTACTTGGGCCAAATTCTGACTGGTTTGTTTCAAGACTGGATATCGATCACCATATCACAAACGGTGCATTAAATGTTAGAGATCTTGCGAAGGAGTAAAAAATTATTAGGATCTTCAGACAAATGAAGCGATTACAAAACTTACCATATTCCAAAATTCTAGTGATCACAGTGGGGCCTTGGCAATATATACATTTTATTGTGTACGAAAGAAGTATGTATTGGAGTAACGAGAGAAGATAAGACATTTGGTAATGGACTTTCTTTATCACATTTGCGCAGTCTTAGTTACATTGAAGTTCGACTGGATCAGAGAAGGATCACTCGTTCAAACTGGTTATCAAATTCTCATATGTTAAACAACTTTGTTCAATGAGATTATCTCCAGATTGTAACGTAAACTAATTCCAGATTTGAGGAATAAACACTTCTGCATATGCTGCCATTGACTCAGAATGATGATTTCAGTTTTAGCCGCTTCCTATCAATCTACAACATGCCACTCTACAAATACTATCACTCCTACAAGCTAACCGACTAGGTTAGATTGCTAACCAGAGTTTTCACTTCACTCTAACTATCCCGAGTAGTGACCAGCTGTGTCATCCTCTTCATTAACCCGATCAGTTAGTTTGTCTTCTGATGTCAGGCCTAAGCATACACTGAATGACTAGAGGGAGATGAGAACAAGTTGTTAATTCAGAGAGTGAGACTCATCGAGACAGTCTTGCCTCCACAGGCCACCCTACTTGTGACCTTTGAAATCCTATTGGTTGTTCACTGTCTTAATTTATCAATGGCATTAGTGCCTCTCAGGTTCATTTTAAACATATATACGCAGCTGTCAACTATTTCTGATTGTCGTTTTGAGAGAGGAAAAGCTCTCTTACCAACGTCCAGTCTTCTTTTCTGTATTTGTGGCCCTGACGGACTATTGTTGTTGACGTGCGATTAGAATAGATTAGACAATGCATTAAGTTAGCATTCCCTCATGGTCTACTAGATCGTAGTTCCATTTGTAACATTAATATAATTATTACTATTACTATTTTTGTGGACAGTTTTCGGGTACTAGTGCGTCGGTGGCACAGTGGTTAGGAGTCTCGCCGACTATGAACATGGTCCGGGGTTCGATCACCTGCCGACGCACACCTGATATCTATGGTTGGCCTGCAAAATTTGGGCTACCGATATCACATGCTGAAAATTCCATACCTGTACCACAAAATACGGTGTGGAATCAAGCTGTTATCAAAAATATTAAAAATATTAATATTAGTTTCAGTCAGTATATTTTCTTACTATGCTGAAACATCATCCATCTATCAAAACTTTTTACATCTAGTTACGTAATATTTTCATTTCTTTGCTTATCCTATTCATCCTAATAACTTTACATCCTGCATCCCAGTCATCTTTACAGTCTGTCAAGTATTTTATATATTTTGTCATTATCATATAAGTATACTATTATTGTTAATTTGGGTTCCGAGTGTAAAATAGGGCTTCAACGAAACATCCTTATTTTGTTCTATTACCTGAGGTCCTCTTTAACATACCCCACAACTTCCCATAGTCTCTCCACTCCCCCTCTTGAAACGATTTCCATGTCACCCCTGGACCAACACCCAAATCTTCTTTTCCGGGTGTCATTCGATGGTCTCTTCAGTGTTTGTCCGATCCATCTCCATTTTCTTCTACATGTTTGTTGGATAAGCAGAGTATTTTTTCGCCAATTCTTTCTGGCTACCCAACTGATCTTGAGTGTGGAACCAGTGAAGGCAGCTGTTGATGGCAGTCTGGAATAGCCTGTTCGAAATACTTTTCGTTACGCACTCTGGAAGTCTCTTAACCATAAATAACAACTGACTGACTGACTGAACTAACATTGGTGTTGAACAGATTCCAAATTCTGTAGTATATTCTGAGGCGTAGTCGAGATCTCCAAACTAATTTCCCAGTGGTAAAAGTCTATCTTGGGATTCTTATGTTGGTTGGTTTTGACGTCCTCGTCAGTGTTGTCGCTTGTAGCCAGAACGATGTCGACTAGGAGTGTATATATATATATATATGATTGATTTCTTGTGAAAATTAGTCTGTTTTCCGATTCTCATCATCATTGTGAGTTCTGTCTAGTACAATGGGATGGGAAGTCAAATAGCCATTGCATATGTACAACGTTGGAGGCTGCTGACAAGCCAGCGTCATTTGTGATCACCGCACCTGTTACCAACTAATTCGAGCGCTTCCCTATCACCAATTTAACCAGTAAACGCTTACAAAATATCAAAGATTTGATCACTTACTGACTGCAACGTATCAGTTAGAGAACCGTTGAAAACCACTACCATCAGCAAACAGTAGTGAAAAAATACCAGGTTGTTCTCCTTATTTCTCGATTGAATCTCCATCAGTGCACACCCATCGCTAGGGCTTGAACCACCTAGTGTCTTCTGGTCATAAGGTGAATGGATCTTTAGAGACCATTCAGGCACTGTATGGCATCCGATGGCTCGCAAATTTCAACTCCTGGCAATTCGCGATATTGATGTGGTGACAGGTGTCCAGCCTGGAAATAAATCAGTCAGATTTGGCCTACGTAAAGTAACACCCACTATTTTATTGATCATGATCATAGACTAATTGGCATATCTTTAGTGATACAATGAGCCATACATTATTGCGTAAAATATGCTATGGCTGATACTGAAATAGACTTTTGGGCCCACTTTTTGTGTGTTTGCGTCTGAGTAGTCCAAGATGGGGAAATAGGTAGCTGGCTGTGGTAAAATATTGTTGGCGCAGTCAGTCATAGTCCATTGGAGTCTACATTCAATGTTCAACGTAGTGAGAAACATAACAATTTTTGGCAACTGTGTTTCATCACCACAAGTCGACCTGATATTCTCCCGTCTCAAACAGCAAGTTGTTCTCCAGCGTGGAAGTCACAAATTCTACAGACCTTCCAGCAAACAATGAACCATTTCCTAGATGACTATCAACCAAATCCAGAAAACAGGCGGTGCAGTCCCATGGCTCACCCCGAGTAATACGTCTTTTCCAAAGGGAGAGGTGATATAGTGGCCAATGTCCAGTGTGGAAATAAACCAGTCAGAACTGACTTATGTAAAATGACGTCCACTATTTTATTGACGACGATTGGAGACTAATTGACAGCATCGGCGTCCTATCCTATTCTATTTCATTCTCAGCGTTATTGTGCAATCAGGTTGCTTGTTCATAATAGACGTATGTAGATAACGCAAGATCTGGAACTAACTTTAGTTTTATTAAAACTGCTTTATGTTATCGATTTTTGGCATATATATATATATATATATATATATATATATATATATATATATATATATGTATATTATCCAATTGAACTGCTTAACACAGAATGACATGTAGGCTGTAGGTAGATCGTGGTACTAGTCTCTCTTTCTCTCTCCTCTTTCGTGTGTGTCCAAGTCTGATCAATAAAATAAGATCAAAAGTGATCATCTTATGAAACATTTTCATTGCCATGTATGTGGTCTAAATATGCATATGCAAGATATGAATATGTTTACATGACTT